CTCTCGCTCTCGCTCTCTCTCTCCTCTCTCTCCTCTCTCTCTCTCTCTCTCTCTCTCTCTCCCGCTCGAGGACGTGCAGGCGTTGCAGAACGGCGGGAGCCTCGTGGACGCTGCCTGCATCTCCGTGCCGCCGGAGAAGCTCCCCGAGGCACCGGAGAAAGAGCAAGGAGGAGAGAGCACACCCGGAGACAAAAAGAAGTGACACAGTATAAGGAAAAGGAGAAAGGAGAAGAAGGGCAAGGAGAAGAAGGAAGCGCAGGAGCAGGAAGAGAGAGAATGAGAGAGCGGGGGACTGAGGCTGAGTCTGAGAGACGAAGTGACGAAGTGGGCAGGGACTGGAAGTGAGTATTGGTAGAAGCGCGGAGGTTCTACGTGCCATGACATGCTCGAGGATAGTAAACAAAACGCACGACACCGTGGGGATGAGAGGCCATGAGTGCAGATGGCAATGGTCGAGATGCGCAGCTTGAAGCCTGAGGGCAGAAGGTCGTCTCACCAAGCTTTCGAGTCATTCCAGAATGACATCTTCATGTGACGCTTCCCCTCCGAGAAGGCCGTCCTCCGGCTAGGGACAGCTCAAGTTTCACGGATACATCTTGGCGGTGCATAAGCAGACCGCGCTTGGTGCCCTCTTGCGGGAAGACGTAAAATTCGTCGGGTCCACCTGAGCCTGTACAGGAACACCCAGGATGATGTCAATAATGTCCGCAGCCCGGTCGGTTCAAACATAGACTTAAGGGAACTTTGGTTTCTTGCATCTGAGTCTTTGCAGCTCTAGGTGGAATCCCCCGATCGTCTCGTTTCGATGTTTGATTCAGAAAGCAGATAGCAACGTAGAACGGCCTGCTGGTTTCATGGAGCTGGCAGTGGATGGATATGAGGCCAAGCAAGAAGCTGTGACTCAAAATTAAATACAGAATATGTAGCCATTCTTCCAAACCCCGCCCAACCCTTCCCAGCTGCTCGTTTATCCACGCCTCCTGGCACTGCGTCTTGCCGGTGCTTTGTAAGCCTGCGAGTAAAGCCACAGAAATGCTGGGACAGGCAACCTTGGCGGCCGAGTATCTTGGCCCTACATGTAGCTATAACATCGCCTTGGGGTCCAGAATGTCTCGTGAGACTGCGGCAGTGTTGAAGGTGCAGGTTCTATGTCTTGTTCCAGCAGAATCGGGGTATCATGAGCTGACATGGTCCGTGCGGCACCGCAATCCTCAGGCTGGGTGCGTTGCACGAGCGGCTGGTGCAAGAGCATCGCAAGGTGCAAATTGTCTTTTCAAGGAATGCATCTTGCTTCAAGAAGCCCGCAGAAAGCGAGTGCCCCTGCTAAACGGTGCGACGATCCGTTGCTTGCTGTGGGCTGTGCTTTCTTCCCGCACTCGGACGACAGTATTCAGCGAAGTATTCGGTGCTATGTAATAGCTTTTCGTACTGCCGGTCAACCGTCGTCTTGCTTCTTGCCCCGCCACTGCTCACTGCAACTCCTGGGAAACACTTTCCGTGCCGTCCGTAGCTAAGTAAACACGCATCATCATCATCATCATCATCATCGTCATCACGATGACGATGGTGATGATGATGATGATGATGATGGTCATCACCATCGTCATCACCGGTATCTTCGCTGAAACGTTCACAGGCGTTTTGCTGGTCTGCGTGATGTCAAAAGGCTGCAGGAACTCACTTCGAGCGGAACCCCCCTTCCACATCAGGCAAGCTCAAGCAGTCCACGAACTTTGAACATGGCTCCAGCCCTCCAGCCTGCCAGGCGCAGGCACGAAAGAACCCTCACGTCGTGTAGATCTCACAGGCCGTTCGGCATTTCTGTCATCATTCATCAACCCTCCACGTGTGCTGCGGGTGATTGGACGTGCGATGTCTTGAAGGGTGAAGATTGCACCCTTGTTTTGCATTGCGAGGCGGCATGTTCTGCACCTTCGGTGGGCTGCCGGTCGGACCAAATGAACCCCTGTAGCGCCATGTCGAGTGAACAAATGTAATGGGACGCACCAGCCATCTCCAGTACGTTTTTGAAACCAACACGAAATCTTCAAGCAGACGAAGGAGAAGACCAGCAAGCGCAGTAAAAGCAGCAGCAACAACAGCAGAACCACGGCATCTACAGCAGCAAACATGATGGCAACAGGAATGAGAGTATGTCAACGACGACATCGGGATTTTTGCGGATGTCCGCATTCTCCTCCTTCAGTGTTTGTTCTGCAGCATGTTCATGCAGCTTGTTTGCTCCCATGTCCCATGCAACAGCCTTTGCAGGTCCTCAACAGGAATGGCCCGTTGGAGCTCTATCGTGGTTCGCAGTTCTCTTCTACCGTAGCCAGGGTCCCGGATGACACCAGCCTCAGGATGACCTCACTCGCTTGGAAGGAGTGCTGATAGAGAGTGCAGCGGTCCTTAGCAGGTGTTGTGCATTTCGTCATGTGATTCTTGTGTCTCGTCAAGTCTGTCTTCTCTCTCCACCTGTCTTGCTATATATATATATATATATACATCTCTCTCTCTCTCTCTCTGTCTCTCACACTCACTCGCTCTCAGACTCTATAGCACGCATAATGGGTTTCATCATTGTTCTTGCGTTCTCTTTTCCTTGCCTCCTTCTTTTCCATCTTCTTCTTCTTCTTCTTCTGTGCTTCTTTGGCGCTCTTGCTCGCTCTTCTCCTCCTCAGCGCCTTCTGCCGCAGCGGCGCCGAGGCAACCTCCGGAATGGGCCCCAAGCTGTTAAAGCCCGTGCAAGGCAGGCTGGGCCAAGGCGGATAGGCTGAGAGGCACCGTTTCATTGGCTGCAGGCATGCTTCACGGCGACAAGACCGGCGACGGTAGCGAGATATCTAGCAAGCTCTCCGGTGGTTGCGAGCTCTTCGACAAGTCCTTTGCACACGAGGCCTCCGTTTCTGCACAGCTTCGATATGTGACTTCACATGTCTTGGACGGTGTTTTCATCTCAAGCTCGCGAGACGGTACTGCCGCTGCATTTGGGCACATGAAGGCAGCTCTGAAGGCGGCACCTGCTGACCAGGTCAGCAACATCCACGACAAGTGGTTCCTTTTAAGCCTGAAGCTGACCGACCAGGAAGCCGAGGACCACGCAACGCAAGCAGCAATGGGGATCTGAGCAGGTTCAAGCAGGTCTCAGGTTCGGGGAAGCTTCTGTGCGCCTTAGAAGCAGATCCGTCGCCAGGACGCCCTGGATCCTGTGAGCCCGTTTCCAGTGACCCAGCAGGACTGCGCATGCCCTGGGATTTCCCAAACGGCTGATAGCCATGAGTCTCTTGTTGGCGCGTCGCTCGTGTCGTTTTGAAGGAGTCCGCTGCAGGTTCCGGGAGCTTCATCCAGCTGCTTCCAAGCTCAATCTGTATCCATGGACCGCAGCAGCAAGATGCCTGGCTGAGGCTCCCAGCATGGAATCGCGGGCTGCACGAATCCTTCAGACAGCAGAAGAGGGCTAAAAGGAGAGGTGTCAGTGATTTTCAGCAGAACCGAATGCATCCAGAAATCTTCCAGTGAAGGAGATCCATGCGTGGTGTCTCGGACGGGACCTCGGTTGGAACTCCTGGTGCGGCTTCGTGCCTACGGACGCATAGCCTAGGCCCGGATGAATGAGAAAGTCAAGGACAACACTTGCCTGCAACCGCTCATCATCGCACCTTCGATGCTCGGCCTTCAAGCCACCGCCTGTATTCGTTGCAGATTGTTTGTGAGGGCACCGTCTCTGCGATCTCCAGCATGGCCCTGTCATGTGAAGCTGAGGAGTCCGAAACGAGTCTCATGGATGCCTGGCCGCTTCAGAATGACTTTGCAAGCTTCGTCTTACTGTCTGGGAGTTCTAGGATTCGCGGGTTCATGTGGGAGAGTTCGTCTGGCCTCCTTTGAGACCTCGGATGGGGAACGCTATAGTCAAATCATATGTTTGACCCCGCGATTGGCACATCAGTGCAAACCAAAACACGACCAACGTAGGTACGGTCGGCAGAGGGCTAAAGTGCGCTTAAGCTAGGGTGCCCGACAGTTGTGTTGCCCTATGCTTCCTGAGGACCTTTCTGGGTTTCGTCTTCATCGTGTGGGACCTGGCAGCAGCCTTAGTTGGCTGCAAGATGTTTCCCTTCAACTGTTTAGCATCGATCTGGCCTCCTCCCGCAGGTGACCATACCGATGACAATGTTCGCCATCCCTGGTTTCTCAGGCCAGAACGTTCTGAACCTTGTTGCTGCTTCTTGCGATCGTTCGTGAGCCTGTTCATCGAGGATCTGTGTAGGCCAACAGGCGGCCAGAGGCCATTCAGATAAGCCTTCCATTTCTTTGTGTGACAGACTTCTTGGACCTGATGGGGCGGGTCACCTTCGGGTACTTCCTTGCGGATGTCTTTCTGCACTTCGTCTTCGCGGTGGACATCAAAGGCCTCATGCGGGCCTTGTTGCCGGCATAGGTGTCCTTATCCGATCCCCAGCCCGTCCTGTGAGGCCAGCTGGAAATGCGGCCCGGGGTTTCTTGGCTTTTCCCATTTTGCCACCAGACAGATGGGATGAAAATCCTCTATTCAGCTGCAGCTACGCCAGCTACCATCAAGCAGCCCAAGCAGCGAATTGCGTGATGCATCGATTCCCACAACGCGAGGTCATTGCTCGCACCTACGTGCGTTCTTGGTTCTTCCTGGTGTGCGACCCAGTTCGTCAAGTCATGCGAACCCTTGCCGCTGCGATTTCCATGCCGAGGACGTGCTCCTCCTGCTAATCGATGTCATGCTCTTCACCTTGGAGGCAATTGCGGCTGGCGGAGGCACAAAGGGGAAGAGGGCGACCAAGGTGCACCCTCCCCTCCGTTTGCACTCTGCCCCCAAGGTGGTTTGCACCCGCGGGTTTACTCCTCGAAGCCTACGCAGCCCATGACTCTGTCAGATTTCAATGGGTTTGCGGAGATGTTCCTTCAGAAGCTCTATTTTTGGAATCCGGAGCTCTAGGAGGGAATTCCACGAGGGAAGGGCTAGAAGGGCTAGAAAATGCTGGAAACCTGACTACTAGTACCCAGTCTTGGTCGCAGATGCGATGAGTGGCCTGAAGACGATGCGGCTCCTTCGCTCTCTGCGGCTTCTTCGCCTGATGCGGCTGCTCCGGATCGGCAAGCTGAAGGAGGCAGGGGACTGGGCTTCTGTGGATTTCTGACGCGATTTGTTCTCATTTGTGAACGCAGGCTCTACAGATTCTGGCCAATCGCTTCTCCTCCCTGTACTTCCTCATGATCCTGAAGGCCTGTCTCTTGTTGCCCTCGTGGAGGCTTTCTGTACGGAACACGACCGTCTTGTTTTTCCTTTGGTCTTGTGCCGTCAGATCCTGTCCGGTTTTGGCATGGTCCTTGCCGTGAACCACTTCATTGCATGCTTTTGGTATGGCAGCCTGGAAGCACGTGTGGCTGTCCTTGGGTAGTAGCCGCCAAAAGCAAGACTTGATGACCGAGTCAGTAAGAGCTGCAATCAGAATGCCGACTGCTACAAGACTTGTTTAATGCTCATCGTGTTCACAACCCCGCAAGCGTTGGGAGCTGGGACTCCCGAGCTTCGGGCAGGCCCTGGCCAGGGGCCGAAGACTTGAGGAGAGCAGAGAGGCAGAGTGATCAGAGTGAGGAGTGGGCCTCATACACGTGGACACGGTCAGCTGGCTCACCGAGTCGCAGATGCAAGAGGTGGGATTTTTAGGGAGATTTGACGATTCGAGACTATGTCGGGTTCTGGCATCAGGCCAGCTTCGCAGAGGGCTACATTACGGCTCGGGGCTCGGCGAACCGAAAGCAATGAGCCGCAGAGCGGCTTTGCATCCGTCAAGGCAATGCACTGGAGCTTGACCCAGTTCACTCCAGCGACCAACAACGTTGCGCCTGCAGCTTGCCACCGTTGTGAGCCTGAGTCAGGTGTGCGGTGATAGGACAGCAAGCGCTGCTATCAAGATCCAAGTCACTTTGTCTCCAGTGCAAGCGGCCGCAACCAAGGCGAATTACCTCGAGAGGACAAGCGCCCGCAGATCGAGTTGTGAGTTCTGCCCAAGTCCACAGTCCACAGACAAGACCAGAAAAGCCAAGCACAACGTTTGACATTGCACAAACCGTATCACACCCCCGAAACCCAACCCAAGGAGTTGACCCTTGTCGCAATGAAGGATGGTAGCCGTTTTCGTGATCTTGTTGGCCATGGGGGTCTTCTCCTCCTTCGTCAGCTCCCTGCCATCTGAGTGTGGCGTTGTGGAAGGTAGTGCGGGATTCATATGCAGAGTTTCAGCCAGCTTGGCCGATCGCATTTTGCCAAATGCCACGACTCAAGCCTAAGCTACTCACGGCGACATGTGCCCAACAACCGACAGAAGCCTGAAGCATTCCTTTTGTGAGAGCCTTGCCTCGAAAGGGCTTGCAATCTCATACAGTCCGAGGTTCTGATGTAGCAGTCAAAGGACTGGTAGCTTGGTAGCTGTCTTCCAGCGACCCGTAGAAAAAGCAGGCACATGCGACGTCGCGAGACTGCCAAGGCTCCATCACCAGTGCCGTAAATTCCTTGCGGGCGGTTCGAATGGAGCAGATCAAGCAGGACTGCGCGGCCGGGCACCTTCACGGGCAACGATGTGGTTGAATGCCGCAAGTGTTAGTGGCTGGACGGCGGCAGACCTTGAGCCCCTGCCCAAGCTGCCTTGAGCTTTTGCGGCTCGGACAGGAGAACAAGATCCGTCAATTTTTCAACGAGCGCAACCTTTCTGCGGAACTCTTCAACAAAGTCCAGGACCTGCGGAACTTCTGGTTGGTTGTACGAGAGTGTTTTATTATGTTTTAGTACTCGTCCCTCGAGTGAATATGTGTCGTCTGCGGCCTCCTTGCAGAACTCCTGGTCCTTGTAGGACGTCTGCCGCAAGCGCGGGCTCTTCGAGATCCGACTGAAGGAGGAGGAGGCTTTGCGTGAAGACCTCGCGGGGCTGAGCTCTTCCCTTCATGGACGTCCATGGACTCTTGGGCACCCTACTCGTAACCCTTACAATGCCCCTACACCCTATGCCGTAAGCCCTAAGCCCGGAACCTGTTGGGTGTTTGGGCCGTGGCCTTGGGCGCAGGTGGCGCTCTTGAAGGAGATCCCCGAGTCCCTGAAGCGCCGGCTCCACGAGGCGCGTAGCACCTCGCTCCGCTCCTTGCATCTTTGGGCGTTGAGGTGCGTTGAACATCGGGCAGAGGGGTGGGGAGGGCTCGGAAGGGCCTCGGAGAATTCAGGAGATCTTCCTTCCCTTGCTGAGCATCGCGCCCTTCCTTCCTCCCTGGAGCACCTGGGCACGTGTTGTTTCAGTGGGTCCGGGTTGCTTCAAGAGGTCTCGGACATGAGAACCCATCACACACTGAAGCTATGATCCTCGAAGCTTTCCAACATTTCTTGCCGAGCCACGGAGCAGCCCAAGGCCATTCCCAGGAGTACCGCTTCATGCGTAAGGCCGGGTCCCACCTGACCGAGATTTGTGCTGCAAGCTGTCAGATTAGGCCTAGGCTCAACAAGAAGAGGGTCTTGAGCCCAGAGTGCCAAACAGCTCGGAATCCCAGCCACAGCCCCGGAACCCAGCTCCTCGACACGTCCGCTTGTCCTGGTTCCAAGCAGGTGTGCCATGTTGCGATGCAAGAGCGTTCTGCTCTCTCCTCGCAAGCTCTTTGGTCAAAGTGGAGCCTTAGGATCCTTTCAATCACGAAAGCTAGCTCGTCAGGAGCTTGGCAGTTGCAAAGAGTGCTGGGTTCGTCTGGTCTGATGAATCAGTATTTGTGGGTGGGGAGGTGGGTTTAGGTAGGGGTCATCAGTCTCATCGCCCTCCATCATGCAAGGCAAGTCACTGACACGAATCACAAGCGGCACACTGCCCGCATGGGCTTTCAAGTCATAATATACTGCAGTATATTATGGTTATCAAGTACTATGAGACATAGTCGTTTATTGGTCATCTGTTACATCAGATGATGATGTCTGTATACTACATTCTCACCTTGGCAGGGCCGATGTAGGCGCAGTCTCCTGGCCGGGTTTCATTGACAAATTACGTGCGAGCTAGGCCTGAAGCGGTGGCTTCAGAGGTCCAGGGAAGGGCTGGAAAGGGTTGTTTTTTGACGTCCTGGACCCGAAGTCTTTAGTAAACTCTTGATTCCAAGCCATGGCAGAAGAGTTTGCAAGGCCTTTGGATTATGACCCTGCCCGGAAAGCCTGCATCCAAGTTACCCCTCCCTTCGACAACGCGAAAGTTTCTCCTTTCACTGCATGAGCTGTAACAAGTCTAACCAGTCTTTGTATCTGCGATGAAAGAGGAATATCAAGGGACTTCAGGTAATGCAGCTGTTTGGACAACCCATCGGGGCTTCGTCTGAGGACGTTTTCATCCTGGGCTCGGACTGCAAGGAGATGATCATGGTTCAGTATGGGACAATGGGCTACCATGTCTGGGCCTCAGAGCAACAGCAGCTGACTCTGGGATGGGTGTGTTCTGGCTGCAGATGGCTGAGGTCGTCGCCAAGGAGCGCAGAAGACGACAGAGGGCGCTCGGGCAATCTCGGGGCTTCTCTTCTAATTCCTTGCTCCCAGTGCCAGCTCTCCTAGCGGCTCCGATTTGCGCTTGCAGGACTCTTCTCGCATGCAAGATTCCGTGGAGTTCGACGTGCGGGACAGCTTCCCCGCGTTTCTGCATTTTCAGGGCCGGATCAGTGTCGCTGTCATTCCGTAAGCAGCATGGAAGCTGACTGCTCGACCTTGCAGAAGTCAGAGATGCTGCCACTCATCCGATGCGCGAAAACTCGAGACGCAGGACCGAATGGCGTGTACCGTGGGAGAGATCCTCTGCATGCCATGCCTTTTCGCCAAGTGGCAAACCCGTGGCAGGCTGACGCCCGGTGTGATTCAGCCCGTCACGACTGTTATCATACTCATACATCATCATCTGCCATTATCGCTGGCAGGTGCTCATATCGCTTCTGATGCTGCTGATGCTACTTTTACGACCTTTGCCACATTTTGCTTTTACTCTTACTGCTACTACCACTTCTGTCTGCTACTACTGCTGCTACTACGACGACGACTACTACTACTGCTACTACTGCTACTTATTACTGCTACTACTACTACTACTACTGCTGCTGCTGCTGCTGCTGCTGCTGCTGCTGCTGCTATTGCTACTCCTACTACTACTACTACTACGACGACGACTACTACTACTACTACTACTACTACTACCGCTACCACCACTACCACTAACTATTACTACGACGACGACGACGAGGAC